AAAAAAAAAAAAAAAAAAAAAAATTATGATGTCAAACCGTGAGAGGATTCAAGCCTTGGAGGACAACATGAAGATCATCGGCGGTGGTCAACATGCTACCAACGAGAACTTGGGAAGGATCGAATTGATGGTCCAAGACTTGGCCGGGCAATTAACGCGCATGAACACGCGGCCAAGGAGAAGACACGGGTCGCGGTCCACGGCAGTCAGCACCGGGACCGAGCGCGAGGATGATCGCCGATCGCGGGGATCACACGCATCTCACGCAGATCCCCATCGCGACGGGCAGCGACGACACGAGAGACGCGCACATCACGACCGCAGGCGCGCAGACGAGGACGACTGGCAGTCGTACGCATCGCGAGCCTCACGCGATGAGCGCCGAGCACGACGCGATGACCAGGAGCGCTACGACGAGGATCGGCGACGGTGCGAGGGGCGCAATAACCGACGTCACGAGCGCGATGAGCAACTGAACGAACGGGCAGGTGCACGACCAAAAATTGTTATGCCTACGTTCACGGGGACAGATCCGGATGCATGGTTGAGTCGGGCTGTGCAATTCTTTGAGATCAATGATGTGCCAAAGTACGAACGAGTTCAAATTGCTGCTTACCACCTTGATAGAGAAGCAAACGTTTGGTGGCAATGGGTGGTGCACAAAAACCATGGCGAGCACATGCGATGGAGAGATTTTGAAAAGGAACTCATCACGAGATTTGGCTCGAGTGACTACCACGATTACAACGAGGCTCTGTCAAGAATCAAACAAGTGGGAAGTCTAAGGGATTATCAAAAAGAGTTCGAGCGCATTGCTAGTAGAGTACGGGACTGGCCCGAAGCTGCGTTAGTGGGGACGTTTGTTGGAGGACTTAAAGCTGAACTGGCAGCCGAAGTGAGGTTGGAAAGGCCAGGCTCGATGCGAGCAGCCGTTGAGTCGGCTAGATTGCACGAGGAACATCTTGCGGCAGTACGTAAGGCCAAGCCGAGCGACGTGCGCACGGACACCAAGCGCACGAGCGCTGCAATCGAGGAACAACCAACGCGAACCGAGAGCAAGCCATTGGGCGAAGTTGTTCGAACAACAAGCAACATACGACTGTTGACTGATGAGGAGATGCAACGACGGCGAGAAAAAGGCCTTTGCTATTCATGCAACGAAAAATTTACGCCAGGCCACAGGTGCAAGGGCAAGGAGGTCTTTTTGTTGGAATTTGAGGAAGAGGAACCACGAGAAGAGTCCTTACTACACATGGTTAAGAGTAAGAAGCGTGGTCCGAAGATGATTACATTCACGGCAGAAGTAAGAGGAAAACTGGTGGAAGTATTGGTTGATAGCGGATCTACGCTAAATTTTATCGATGAAGAGTTGTCCAAAGAAATTGAGATTCCATTCACCAAGGTAAAGCCTTTTGGAGTCAAGGTTGCAAACGGGGAAACACTACGAGGGGATATTCTATTCAAGGGCGTTAAGTTGAAGGCTCAAGGTCAAAGGATGAGGGTGGATATCTATGCCTTGCCATTGAAGGCAACTGATATAGTGCTTGGATGCCAGTGGTTGGAGACTCTTGGTCCAATCACAACGGATTATTGGAAGGGAACTATGGAGTTTGGGAGATCGAGTAAAAGGGTCAAGTTGAGAACCGAGGATCCAGGCGAGTCACCTGATGAGGATGACGATGGTGGTCGAGTTAGGAAGCTGAACTTTCTTATCCTTGGGGACAAGGAAAGTCTTGAAGAGGAGGGGAATGATACGGAAGTGGAGATTGAGACCGGCGAGTCTAGTCAGGGGCTGAAGGGCAAAA